CTACATCGATCATCACACCAACGGACAATTTACACACCACGCCAGAACAGGGATACACGTGTGCTGCAGCAGCTCAAATGCATCGACTTATCTATCTATCAGGCACTATGGTCACAAGAGGAAGTAAAAGCAGTGGCGTCTCGAGGCTAGAGCTGTCGGGCTGTCATACATGCCCGATTAACATCGGATACGAAAAAAACAATATATCTAAGAAAAACGTTAAAGGTTCTTCGTGAAAGGAAACGACAGCGAACGCCGCAACGCCAGCGGTGACTCGGTAGTGAGGGCATCGTCGCCAAGACAAGGCACGCACGCAGGTTCCGCATTTGGCCGCCGCTCGTTCACCTCCGATAACCCTCTCTGCGTACGTGCATGCGTTTGTGTGTGGGTGTATGGATGCGTGTGTGCGTGTGCGTGTGGGTGTGGGTGTGTGGGTGTGGGTGCGTGTGCGTGTGCGTGTGCGCGTGTGGGTGTGTGCGTGTGGGTAAATGTAAACATACTACGATGTGCATAATGACGTCCAAAGGACAATTTCGGGAGGTAAATCACAAAGAAATCATCCACAATATGTTTGTTACTACTTATGCAAGGACTCAGGCAAAACACCTCCCCTATGGTATCGCCCTGGGCTGTGAGGCTGGGAGAGAGAGGTGGGAGGGAGGGGGAGAAACAGGACAGGGGAGGGTAAGAGGAGAGGACGGAGTATCCCCGCGGCGAACAGGTCACAGACAAGGTCAAGGTGCCACAGCAGGGATCCAATACTTATGCTTTACATTACTTCTACTTTTCTCGACAGTTTCTTCCACCTCGTTTTGTTCTACAAATTACATTATCTTGTTTCTTTCTCCTTTTCCTCTTTTCCATTTTTCATGAAGGAATTAGATCTGAGAGGTGAGAGATAAAAGAACAGAAAGAAAAGAGATAGTAAAGAGAGAAGAGATGAAAGACCAGGTGAGAAATAATTGCGATAAGAGAAAAAAAATATAGCAGGTGAAACAAACGCGGTAAAATAAAATGCAAGAACAAGAAATACGAACCTCACAGAAAAAATTAAAGCGCGAGCGATCGAGAGCGAATCACAAACTATCGATGTCACCTGCTGTCAGTCGAGCGCAGATCCATCACGGTCGCGCAGTCGGAGCGAAGACAAAGGGGTTGGAATGAACTTTCTCCAGCGCCCGGGGGGACCACCTGTGCTCTGGGAAACCATCTGCGACCATCGGAGGCCACTAGGGCATGGGTAAGCCAATTCGTACCTACGCAGGGCATCAAAACGCAACAATTTCACAAATGTCCACAGCGTCCTCCTGTACCTTGAGTCACCAACTGTCAGAGAGGGAACCATCTGTAGCCTCTATGCAAGTGGAGGCGCTGACCAACTGTAACCCCGAGGAACACCTGCGTGTGAAGCAACCACCTGTGTTGCTCACGGCGGCCCACTTGAGCGTAACCAAACCCAGCAGCTACGAATGCCCCTCTCCCTTCCCCTCCCCCCTCCCTCTTCCCCTGACGCCGCGCTGGCCGGGGAGGCAGCCAAAGGAAACCGACGGCGGAACGGGGCAAGGAAACGCGAAAACGATAATTCAGAATGAAGTAAAGATCAAAAGGAGGGAGGCAAGACTGACAATAAATACTGAGTAATCGAGACAGGAAATGAAGTGTGACTCGAGTCATGTTTATATAAAAAGTTAAGACATACATATATTATATATATATATATATAATATATATATATATATATATATATATATATATATATATATATATATATATATATATATATATATATATATATATATATATATATATATATATAATATATATATATATATATATATTATATTCTATTTGACTAAGCCCTGTCGACGTAAGTGGGTGGGAAGTGGAGATGGACTTATAAACGGAATCTCTCGCCTCAGTTCCTCTAATAAACGTTGCGATACATTTTTTAAATGAATCTAAACAATAAATGTGAATGGTAGCGAGCGTCCTTATGACAAGAGCCCTTAGCGCTCACTTTGCATTGACACGAGTCTGTTTATCTGGCCGGCAGGAAGCCATCAATATTGCTGATCATGTCATAAACAAGTTTAGTATCTGTAATGTATTTCCTATGATCAGCTAGTGACGACCTTCGGCTGACATCAGTAGAGGGATAAAGTAGCAGTTCTACGACACCGTGGTGGCCAAAGTTGTATTTTTTGCAACAAAAGCAATCTGGTTACTGCAATTTTGTCTTACTTATCTGTTGTTTAGGACCACAACACTACTTTCGCATCATGGTAACATGGGCGTCAATCAAGACAAAATAATATCCAACACGTTTTATTTGTGTGCGAGAAAGATAACGTTCATCCTCAAGCAATCGAACGTATTAACGAACTTGTTCACTCCCTTAGGAGGAACCCCTCAGCCCTAGCTTCGAAGACAAATAGAAGACCCTCTTGCTCAGTGCTCCCTTGTTGCATGTGCGATAAAAGAGTGACCTCAGGGTCAGTCGTCTGCATATCTACCGCTCACCGCATCCATGTTCGGGGATCAAGAGACTACGCGTTTCCTAACGTCGGCAGGCCAGATGCGGAAGTTCCGTTGTATGGCGCTAAGGGTAGTTCCACGGGTAAGACGAAAAGCCTTCATATATCTTCTATCAAGAAGGTATATGAAGGCTTTCCGTCTTACCCATGGCACTACCCAGGGGTAAGAGAAGACAATATTCACACGAAGAGGGGGTTTGCTTTCCGGAAAATGAACCATAGTATCGTGACATTTTTTTCTGTTTGCTCGCCAGTACTAGGCAAGTACAGATGATCTACCTGCCCTTGCAAGTCCGTTCTCTGAGTACACTGTGCGAGCTCGAGAGATGTGACAAAACGCTCGTATATGGACATAGTAGGAAGGTCGGAGATGCAGAAAGGGGTGGATAAGGGGATAGCAGATAAGCCGAAAAGAAAGAAAAGAGGACAGAAGAGAAGAGCGGGGAGAAAAAAGAGGAGAGTAGGAAAGAGAGGGAAGAAAAGAGAGAGCAAAGAGGAGAGAAGAGAGGGAGATAAAGCAGAAGAGTAGAAGGGAGAGGTGGGAAAGGGAAAGAATGAGTGAGGGGATAAGGGAGGGGAGACAAGAGGGGGAGAGAAGGGAAGAGGGAAGAAAGTGGGGAGGTGGAGAATGGAGGCCAGTGTATGGAGGGTAACTATCAGGCTCCGCCCCCAACACACTGATACTGGCCACGCCCCCACTTCCGGCCTGCTCGGGGACACGACATGTCATCCTCCTGGTTCAAGCCCGCGGTTCAACACAGGAAATGGGATAACATGGATGTAAACCGAACCACGTGCTCATGGGGGACGCGCGCTGCCCGAGTGCTTGAGAGAGAACCACTTGGGGCGTCTTGCGTTCGAGGCTTCCTCTTCAGCTTCTGCGTCTGAGCTTCCGGTGCGGGAAATTATTAGACTCCTCAAGGAAATCCAATAAGGAGGGCTTTCAATGCACCCGCTCGCAGCACTGGAAGACGGACGTGGTTGAAGCCAAAGAGTTAGGAAAACACGTGATTTTTTCTCTCCCTCTTTGATGATATCTTACGGCCCCGTCGCGTCGTCGCTCGCTGGCAAGTGCAGGGATGATTGGCTGATGAGTTAAATGGAAATCTCCGCCATGCTTAATGCAGCCTGGGTGTCATGGCAGTAAAGAGGCGATTTGACCCAACGTTTTAATTGTTCCTGCTACCAGACCTGATGAGGAGATCAATTAAATAAGGAAAGAAATCAATGAACAAAACAGTTCATATTTTCTAGTGCTAAGGAGTTTTTGATAAGGATCTACTTCCCTCTCAGTATACACGGTCAAACTGCCATTACAATCCGCATAACTGATCCAAACTCAATCCAACTCAGTCAAAATGTTATTCTAATGATAACCTACGGCTTCTTTTTTGTCCGAGTTCATGCTATGAAATAAATAAATAAGGTTCATATTTAACTCGAGAAAAAAATATGTTTGTCCTAGAGATTCCGAATGAATTGTGGTCCTTGGCGTTTGTAATCCCTCGTGTCCTGTAAAATCCTTCAGTAAATATCCTAACTTGCCCGCGCAATTGTGCTGAGGTTAAAGAAAAATAAAGTGGTGGCTCCTGTAACACAACTTTGGGGTCATCCCTTAAAATTTGTTAATTCTCATTCGATTTTGATTTCAGAAAACAACAACATGAGGACTCGATAGTAGAATGCTGCAAAAATATGCGGGTTCATTATTGAACGCAAAAAAACATGAGGGCTCGATTTCGAATCCCACAAAGGTAAGAGGACTCGATGCCGACTGATAATCATACAAACATAAATCAATAAATAAAAAACCTACCAACCATGTTACTGGAACTTCACAATTTCATTTACTTGCCTCTTGCTCTCGTATTTCGTCTTTTCCTCTCACTCGCTCTTGCCCGTATCCCTTTTCGTCTCAATTTAACTTTCTTAAGGTCGTTTTTTCTTCGCCCATCCCCTTTAATCTGCATTAATCTATCGGCTCAACCCTGTGGCAACTCCGCAGGTGTTTATCATAGACCAGGAAACAGCTAAGTTAGTACAGTCGGTTAATATCAACACTGACGCAATCGAGCTAAAACATGATCCCCGCTGCTTTCGCGTCTACGGCAATCCCGGAGCTTTTATAATATCAAAATAAAAAAATAATAAATCTGTATATTACAAGTGAAAAAACAAATCAATAACAACAATATGATTGAAGAATAAAAAAGTCATGCCTTTAAATAATTTTGCTCGCACTGATACTGCAGGTGCAAGAGCACTGTCTTCATGAACCAGTTGTTGAAGTCACGTAACTTGTTGCTACACAAGAAGGATCAGGCGTTTCATAGATAGTTTTTAAACTAACCTATTAATTCGCTCCTAGAAACTAAACATCTAAACATGCACAAATATCTCACAAACACAATTCACATCCAGAATCGCATTCCTGCAGAATGGCATACAAGCCATAGCGAAGCTTCG